TAGATTAGACTGGATTAGACTAGACTTGATTAGACTAGACTACAATCTCACAGAATAACGTACAACAAAACGAATATAAATAAACATAATAATAATAATAATAATAATAATAATAATAATAATAATGAGCTATTTGTGCAGATAAATTAGTAATTAGTAAAAGCATCTACTTTTATTATTTAGTTTTATTTTATAGCTGTTTGCGTCTTTCAGAGTTTTCCTCAACATCTACACTCAGGATTAGCAGCAGTCCAACGTTTAGCCTGTGCTCAACAACTCAATGCTAGCTGCTAACTAACTCCGATGCTGACAGGTCGCCTGGTCGGACTCGTTCTACGAAGGCGTCCAGTCAGAACGTTCCACCTCCAGCCGCTCACATCAGACGCTCACCAGCTGCTACACTCATCTCAACATTCACACAGTGTGTTTGTCATTTTGCACAGAACACGGAAAACAAAAACCTCTTTCATAAACAAAAGTGGACTTCCACTGAGTTTCCTGTCACTAGTAATTCCTGGCAGATAAACTAGAAACTGAACTGTGACTCTCAGCAGCTTTCACATCTGCCTTCACTGGAGCATCAGCAGCCAGCTGCTCTCCATGAGGGTCAGCGTTCAGCTGGACAGGACACATGGGTTGGGTTTCTTTGGCACGCCGTTGGAGCCCAGATACATGTCCTCGGTGCTACAGCTACGTCTGACGGGTCAGCGGTTCGTCGTCGTGGATCACGAGCCACATCACAGTTTCTGCCAGTCTCAGTTCGACGCCTTTGGGTCGTGAGGAGAGAAAAAGAAATCAGCAGAATCAATGTGACACAGACGTCCAGATGAAGAACGCGACGGACGTTTTAGGGCCACGCAGTCAACATGCACGATGAGCAGACATGACGCCCGGTGCTGGTGAGTGCACGGTTTGTTTTCACCCAGAACCCGGGCCGACTCCACTCCATTTCCCTTCTTTCTTTTTGCCGCTGACTTCCTGCTAACAAATATTTTTAACACGTCAGAGCAAAGCTGATGATGAGGGAAGACGCTGCATGAACCAGTTCCTCATTTCAGCTGCTGACACGTCACATCTGACCAATCACAGGCCAACCGTGTAGAGAACCGAGCTTGATGTAAAACCCAGTTCTAAGCCCAACCCTTCCACGGGACTCAACACAATAACTGTCCTAAGCTTCGTGCTTAACCTGGCAAGGCTAATTCAAAAAGTTCTCGGCCTCACTGGACAGCTTCCCAGAAGACTGTTCTTCATGAATAGTCTCCTTTAACCTCAGAGCTCCTGGTCCACCGACGCTGAAGCTTCTTTCCCTCAGTGCTGCATGAGCTCACTGTCTAAAAGAGGTGACCAGCAGCTCAAAGCCACATGTGGCTGCCAGCAACCAGCCTAAAGCTTCCTGCTCTGCTGTCTGGCTGCTCACATATCTGTTTCTGCAGACAGACGGCTTCATCGCTCACAGCTCCAGGCTGGACTTCTTACAGAACGAAGGTCCCACGCCTTGTCCTCATGTCTTACATTCTAGGATTGAATAACTTTGTTCGCTCTAACGCTTCACAGTTTTCTGTGTCTCCTTAAATTAGAGCCTTTCACAGTATCAGACTCTAAAGTGGATTATCCTGCAATAACAGCTGCATTAAAGACTAATAATCATAATAATCACACAGAAGACCATTTACATCATCAGCAGCTTTACCACAAAGCAACTGGACTGGTTCTGGTTCTGGAACACGGTTCACCTTCATCCAAAGGCTGCTTCAGTTCTATAGGAAGCCCGTGAATCGTCTTGGGTGACTGAAAACAAAGTTGAGTTTCTTGTTTTATTGAAGCTTTGCTGTTCTCTTCAGCCTCCTGCTGCCTTTGGGCTCAGTAATAAGTCCTCCACACAATTATATCATATATTATAATAATTATTTTTAACGGGCTGTTTACTCATAAACTTGGGGAACAACTGCAATCAGGATATTTTCTGGAGGTTTAAACTGCTGGAGTCAAATTGACCCCAAAGGATAAAAGATGTCTGTGAATCTGAAGGTCAGTAGGAACCACGTGAACATGTTGCCGTGCCCGTCGTCTCTCGTCTCTCGGCCCGCCGGCTGCTCGTCTCTCGGCCGCTCATCTCTCGGCCGGTCGTCTCTCGGCCCGCCGGCCGGCCTTCAGTACGTCGGCAGGAGGACGGTTCATGCTGAGCGGCCTGCATTCAGCACCTCACACTGGGTTCTGTGTACGTTCACACAAGTTGGGAAGACTAGAATAGCTGCTTTCTCTAGAGACTTAGAGAAGAAAATACACTTCCTCTGCTTCTCAGAAATATAGAGGAAGTCACCAATCAGCTGGCTGGTCTCCACACAGCAGCTACTGGAGGTCTGTGTTAAGTCTAAACGAGAACGCACCAGCTCGTAGCTTTATACTCCGGAGACATACATGGCAGGCTGCTAAATCACAAAGGAAATACTGTTTATGAACGCTCCATCTATCACTGACTACAAATGAGGAAGAACAATGTGAGAGCGGTGCCGGTACTGGGCCACGTCTAAAACCCACAACCGGTCATGAGAACGTCTCACTGGTTCCTTCAGGTCACTGGGTGCTGCTGTGGTTCAGCTGCTTCTGAGGCTCCAGTCAGCAGGAACATCACTGAACAGGATAATAAGGGCACTGCAGCTGAGTTCAGCCTCAATCATGCCACCTAGTGGTCACAAACTACAGCTGCTGCTGCACACTTTACTGTCGCTGATGGACTACAGAGATGCTCTGAAAGAAAACATTCATAGAAAACAGGCAGACAAACAGCTGGACAGCAAAGGATGAAGAAATCATCTACATCCTCTTCAAGGAAACAAGAACTTGGTTTTATGAGTCGTCTACATGAAAGCTCCTGTTTCAGCCGCTGATGACTGCAGAGGAACGCCTGAACTTCAACACATACGTGGAAACTTGTTTTTCACAGTGAGCTGGACACACAGAGGCCTGGTTCAGTCTGGTGGCTCTGCTGGGATCAGGGTTTTTCTCTTGCTGCTGGACCAGTCATTTCCCAGACTGGGATTAATAAAGTATTTTTCTATTCATGGAGCCGGAGGTTGTGATGTGATTCACGCCAATAAACACTAAATGTTATGTGATATTCATCCATTCATGCATTCATTTGTTGGCTTCGCTCTAATCGCTGCCGTGTCCTAAAACACTTTCTACTTTCACTAAAGTCTTGATTTGTGAAGTAAGTAAATATATTAAACGTCATGTTTCTGTCTAGAGCGGCGTTAAAGGGACGGCGATGGACCGACACAGTCCTACACGTACACATTATACATTTAATACATAAATCATATATGCATAATCTGCTCCTTTGTTCTGACAGGAGTTTCCATGAGCTTCACTCTGCTCAGGTTCCAGCGTGTGCTCTCTCCGTTGATAAGGACGATGTGGACGTCCTGAAGCT